GGAGAAGAACCAGCCTGTGTGGCCTTGGACAGGTTGAATAGTCCTGGAAGAAAGGCATGGTAAGCCACTTCTGAGTATTGTCTACTTGGAAAACCCTGAAAAGAGTTGCCATGAACCAGAATTGATTTGATGGCATATGATTATTTATTATAATCTAAATCCACACAAACATGATACCTGCCCCCCATCTTTTGACCTAGTGTATTCAGTTTTTGCTAGACTATGTTCTTCACTTGGGCTTATTTTCAAAACTTTGATTTAAACAACGGACTGGGCTTTTTAAGATGCTCAATTTGTTTCTGTCATATTACTGTATCTTATAAAAAGAAAAGAAAATTAGCACACCAAGTAAAATTCTTCAGGGTAACTTTTAAAAAATTTATATCACATGTATAATGCAAAGATAAATTTAAAAGAAACATTTTTATGGAGGTTGCTCCCTCTTCTGGCAAAAAACAGTAATGTATTTCAAATAGTTTCCAAAAATAAAATTAATGTGCAAACTATATTTGCCAACCAAGAACTCTACTGATTCCCATTAATGAATGACAAAAACAAAACAAAATAATGCATTTTGTCTTTTTTTATTAAGACAAGGTACAACTTCAAATGGAGAACATTGCTGGCTGGCTTCAAGTTATTACTGTATATTCCTACATGAACAATAATAAACGTTTTAATCACAATGTACGAAATGCAACTTGTTGTTTTTTACAAATATTTGCAAGGCAAAGTACAATATAATTAAAAAAAATGGCAGTTTCTTAAGACCTTGGATCCTTTTGGGGGAGAAAGGTGGGATGGAAATATTTTACAGATACAGCTAGGATTTCCATGTCATTACTCTCAGACAGGTTTGGTGCCAGATCAGATTTGTCTTTGCTCAAAAGTAAATTTCATAACAACAAGGGACTTTGTAGAACATTCCCAAACTCCGTATAGAATTGTACGTTCAAATTTATGTGTAGCCTGCATAATTAATTTGTAAACTGCCAGATCTAGATGGACCCCTAAGCTGCAAACCTCAGTCTTTGTGCTGAGAGTCACTCCCCCGAAAGTGAGGGAGTTTCCTAAACCACCAATGGTGGAGCCACCCACCCACAGGACCTCTGTCTTGTCCAGATTCAGCCTCATTCCATTCATCTACATCCATTGCAATACAGCTTCCAGGCAGCGCTGAAGGACAACAACATTAATATAATTCAAGATGGCAACAATAAATTAAATAATGACAGGAGGGAAGGCCTGCATAAAGAGCCAGGTCTTAAGCTTGCTCTTAAGCGAGGGACCCAGACAGAATTCTGGGGGTAGACTGCTCCAGAGATGAGGGGCCACTGCTGAGAAGGCCCAGTTTCTTGTTCTTTCTCTCTGGGCCTCCCTTGGCGTTAGGCCCCTCAGGGCCCCTCCTGGCTACAGCAAGTGATATGGGTAGATCTAGGTGGGAGAAGGTGTTCCACCAGATACTGAGGTCCTAAACCATGTAGGGCTTTATATGTCATTGTTAATACTTTGAAATCAATGTGGAAACAAACGGCAACCAATGCAGGGCAGCCAGAGTGGGGTAGATATGTTGATGTTTTCTCACCCTGGTGAGAAGTCTGGCCACCACGTTCTGCACCATTTGAAGTTTCCGCATCAGTCTCAAAGGTAGCCTCATGTAGAGCGCATTACAGTAGTCTAATCTCAAGACTACAAGCGCAAGGAACACAGTGGTGAGTGCCCCACCATCAAGATAGGGTTGCAGCTGGGCAATCTGCCAAAGATGGAAGTATGCAGTGCAGACCACTGATGTTACCTGGGTCTCCATTGTAATCACCGGATCTAGATGGACCCCTAAGCTGCAAACCTCAGTCTTTGTGCTGAGAGTCACTCCCCCGAAAGTGAGGGAGTTTCCTAAACCACCAATGGTGGAGCCACCCACCCACAGGACCTCTGTCTTGTCCAGATTCAGCCTCATTCCATTCATCTGCATCCATTGCAATACAGCTTCCAGGCAGCGCTGAAGGGATGAAACAACACTGTTGTTGGGAAAAAGGAGATGTAGAGCTGGGTGTCATCAGCATGCTGATGACATGAAGCCCCACATCCCCTGATGACCTGACCCAGCAGCCTCATATAGATATTAAACAACATTGGGGAGATAATCGAGCCCTGTGGAACCCCACATTTGCCTCTATGGGGCTGATACATTCTCCCCAAGCTGTACTCTGAGGATGGTCCTCCAAGAAGGATTGGAGCCAGGCAAGCACCAGACCACCAATTCCCACTTGGAGAGCCTCCCCAGGAGGATATGGTGGTCGACGGTATCAAAGGCCGCTGAGATATTGAGAAGGACCAACAGAGACATTTTGCCCGTCAGCCTCCCTCAACAGGTCCTCAAACAGGGCAACCAATGCCATTTCCATGCCATGGCCTGAAGACCGACTAAAAATGGATCCAGGGCATTGATTTCATCCAAAAGCGTCTCAAGCTCATCAGCCACCATCCTCTCTACCACCTTGCTGAGAAATGAAACATTGGCGACGGGCCTATAATTGCCAGTGTTGTCCACTGCCCAACTTAGTTTCTTCCTAATGGGCCTAATGAGTGTCTCCTTGAGAGACCCATAAATTATTGCAGTGGCCCATTCAGTTGTTATGGGCCTGGCTGCTTTGATTAGCCAGGCTGGGCTCCGATAAGGAAATGGCTGGGTCATGGAGCGCAGTAACCCAGCAAAATCCCAATACCATTCCTGGCCCCAATCGATACGTGGAGGGCCTCAAGACCCAGCGTTGCCGCTG